ACGATGAATAACAACTTGGAATTATAAATAGTAAATAAAATATCGTTTTTCTTCATAATTAGGATTTTCTTCGAACACCTCATTCTAATTGGCTAGCGCATACTTCAACGTGATTGGTCATCAGCCAAAGTTTATTTTTTCTGTTATTAGGAAATTTATTTAGATGTAAGAATCATTTTGTTTGAAAATATTTTCAAGGAGTGAATTTTTCGAAGCACTACATGCTGAGAATTTCATACTCCGTCAACATACTGTTTGGAATGGAGCTATTATTATTATCATTGTTATTATTATTATTATTATTATTATTATTATTAGTAGTAGTAGTAGTAGTAGTAGTAGTAGTAGTACTATTAGTCAGCTACTTTTATGTAGCTTCTTAGCACTATAAGGCGTCCTCAGTGTAATATAGAAAACGGGACTAATGTTTCATCATATTCTTCCTTCAAAAGAATTCTGAAAGATACAACTTCCAGTTAACGAAAATTAGGCAATACATGCACAATAACTAACCTAATCCTAAAATTCTTCTTTATAACAAAGTAAGGTATAGGCAGTTTAAGATTGATTGTAACTGTTTGTCATTTGTTTGCAGAAATTAGTCAAACCATATTCTAAACTTAACGCTATTGTTTTTTCATACTTCGTAGAGCCAAAGGTATTGATACTTATCTCATAAGTCAAGCTTGGAAATGCTAAACAATTCATCAATCGTGAATATTTGCTTCGATTAAGCTTATTCAAAATCACTGTATAGATTTCTCCTTCTTGTATGTGCAATGGGACCACTAAGTAAGCACTTTTTAGGATAAGTGCAGAGTACTATGCAAGGAAGCTAAGTCAATCAACAAAGAAGTGGATCTAAGGGGATATGTTTTACATATGTCTATCCACCACCTACCTACTTATGAGATTGTAGTCAAAAAAGGGACTAGCTTTGAAAATATGTTAGGGTATCTAAACCATAAGGCTTTATTGATAATACAGTCTTTGATTACAGGTGTGAACCTTGAAGATAGGTGTTGACCACTTGGATCATTATGATTGAGTTATTGGCAATTGATATTCGGAGACTATAAATGATATGGTGCGGAATCGCTTACAATACAGTGAATGTATTAACTTCTTAACGTAATAAACGTTTTTTAAACGCTTACTAGCCTTCATCTCAAATACCTATATTACTATTATTTTTATTGTTATTATTTGTCTCCTGAGTTCCTAGTCAAACATAAAGCTTCAGCCATTTCACTCTCTTCTCCGAAGTCCTTCCAACCTGGATCCATCAATGCCAGCAAGCTCTTATTTCTACCTCCACCATCTCCTCCATCTCACCCTCGCCTCGAACGACCAACTCGTCGTTTCACATCAAGTTCTACTCGACACCATGGCCTGGTCTAGTGCGTGATGTCACCGAATGGTTTTCTCAGTGTATTCCCAATCCAATCCAATCCATTTCCACTTTCTTCTTCTTCTGCATATTTGTTGGGTTGTGGATTCTTGGTTGGTTCGTTGTCAGGTCAGAGTGAGTTCCTTGTTGCTTATTCTTTCTGGCCATCTTTTTCGATCCATTTCGTCATTGTGTATCATTGTGAAGTTTAGCAACTTTAACTTAGGCTGTTCAGTATAAGATTCTCTGTTGATAAGTCCATGTGTTTGGCAGGGTTATTTTTATTCAATTTCACACTATACGACTATCTGTATTCATCATATTTCAAACTTATTAACAGCTAGATATCTTTAGTGAATATGTTGTACATGTGTGATTGTTAACAAAAGAAAAGGTATCGGTCCAATGAAAGAACTAACGCTTCATCAAACTATGAATTGACTAAATCAAACTTGCTAAGCACTATGCTTTTAAATCTGTCATATTTCTTTCTCGACATTGACAAGCAATGAAGCACAAACTACCCATAAATGACTAAAAGTTTTTTAACTACCGGCAACAAATCGTCATCAACATCATCTGGGTCTACAGATGAAAGCCAACAATTCATCAGAAGTGGCAGGGAAGATGTGACTTCAGATGAACGCAGATAAGAGAGATGTGATGAGATACCCAAAAACAACAAGCAGCGATCACCATGAATAGAAGAAGTCCAAATGAAGTAGTCTCTTTGACCTACCCATCAACCTAGACAGCATCGTTTCAACTACAGGCCACACACACAAAGATGAGGATGTCAAAGCCAGCCAGGATGTGAAAGACACCAAGACAGACCTTCCTGAATTAATCTGAAATCAGTGTGGGGATCTACTGCACTACACTGCACTTAGCGTAATGCGTGAACAACATCCGGATTTTCAACACTAATTCAGTCAAGTCAGTCAGTGCTTCCATGTGATGGTTGACAGACTTAGCATGTTATGGAAAGCCTTTCCAATAGACTGCAGACATATATGAACAGCTTCTACCTTCACTCACTCCATAGTGAAGATGTAGATCAGATGGTCAGAAAGAACACCCAACAAGGAACTCACTCTGACCTGACAACGAACCAACCAAGAACCCATCACCCAACACATATGCAGAAGAAGAAGAAAGTGGAGATGAATTGGATTGGATTGGATTGAGAATACACTGAGAAAACCATTCGGTGACATCACGCACTAGACCAGGCCATGGTGTCGAGTAGAACTTGAGTGGGAAACGACGAGTTGGTCGTTCGAGGCGAGGGTGAGATGGAGGAGATGGTGTGAGGTAGAAATAAGAGCTTGTTGGCATTGATGGATCCAGGTTGGAAGGACTTCGGAGAAGAGAGTGAAATGGCGACGTCCTACTGAAGCCCTGTGTTCCACTAGGAAACCAGGAACAAATAATAAATCAGAACATCACCTGGTAAATATTTTTATTGTAATACTCTATTCTGCATTGAATCGCCGACCCCGAAACATAAAGTGACACTCGTAGATAAGTCTCACCAGACATCTTGAATAATCTCAACCACTGATTGAACAGTTTTCCTATAAATGGATTTACAACAAAATCCACATCACTTTTGTATATTATTGGCTTGACATGAAAACAATAGGTAAGTGAAACACCAATTGATTGACTAACTAATTATTTTGAAGTTGATAACCTTGTTATAAAGTCATATGGTATTCTTTTCCATCTATAATGTAAATGACTATTACAATCTATGTTCATCTCATCTCGAAATAGATATGTCAGTTTTTTATTTATCATATTATATAATAAAATTATAAGGTTTATCAACATACAGAGTGGAGTAGATTGTTTCTAAGAGATCTTTTTTATATATAGTGATTCAATTAGACAGCCTTTTATGCATATTACAGTAGTCATAAAATATCCTAACCGTTGCTTTTAAATTTCTACATAACAAGATAATAGTTGTAAAGTTTATACTTAAAGATATAGTGTTAAAAATATACATAATGTATATGTAAAGGAAAAATGATCTGAAAATCCCTCCCGATCACCCTTATTTGATTGTATTGACACTTATTTAACATTTTTACCCTCGTTATGGATGGTGTACCTTTCACCCTAGCCGGTGTAGTGTTATTTGCTTGTTCGACTGTCTTATTTGACTTTACACTCGATATTTGCCTTTGTATGTTTGAGACTTATTATGAGTGTTTCACTTTCCTATTATGTGACGCTGGACTGTTGATAAGGTGATTTTGTTTTACTGCGCCCGACATTTTGTTTTCGTTCAACTTACGGCTGTGCAGTGATTTGGCTGTTTGTCTTTTGACTGTCTACTGGGAACGTTTGTTTGTTGATTTGATTCCTGTAGGCAGAGTTTTGATCCCTTTTGTCGGGAATATTCCTATTGACCGACAGGTACTCAACAGTCGTATTTGTTTATCCAGTTTTTACCGTGTAGTACGTATTTATATCCGAGAACGTTTTGGACTGTATAGTTACCCAACGGCACTGTTGAGGTATTCTTGTAATTTTGACATAACTTATTGTTGCTTTGATAGTACCACAGATTTTGTTACGAATCTACCATTGAATTACTACAAACCGTGTTTTGATATTTTGACCCAACCTTTGACTGTGCGTCACTCGCGGAAGTTAGGAAGCTATACAGTAGAACGCAGGAACTAGTCAGATTCACGTCAGTTGGCACCGCCTAGCTATTTCCCGCGTTCAGGCCAAGATTATTGGATACTGGCCGCTACAGTATACAATAAGGAATTCTAATAATTTATGTCATTTTACAAAAGAATTAAATTCATTGTAATCTCAACCATTAATTCTCTGTTTTTGTTGTTATTTAAACAAAACACCTGATCGGATAGAGTAACAAACTGAAACTGAACATTGATCATCATCTATAAAAACTCTATTACATATGAAATGTTTGATGAACGTAAATTAACTTTTCATATACTTTTTCATCATCCACAAACAAGTCAAATGTTTGATTGAATACTATATGATGTAACAGTGATAAATGAGTCTAGTTTAAATAATATATATACCTTAATTACAATATTCTTCAACACCAACGTCAAGTCAGTGCTTCTGTATGGTTCAGAGACTTGGCGCGTTACGAAAGGCATTTCCAATAAACTACAGACATTCATCAACAACTGCCTACACTGGCTCGCTACTGAAGATCAGATGGATTGCCAGAAAGAATAAGCAACAAGGAACTCTTGGAACGAACCAACCAGAACCTATCACCCAACAAATATGCAGGAGGAAGTGGAGATGGATTGGCCATGCACTGAGAAGGCCGACCGAGGACATCAGGCGTCAGGCCAGTTGCTCGAGTGGAACCTAGATGGGAAGCGACGAGTTGGGTGTCTGAGGTGAGGGTGACATGGAGGAGGTCGTGCGAGGAGGAAATGAGAGCTTCTGGGCTATCGTGGAACCAGGTTCAAAAGATTTCAGAGAACAGAGTGTACTGGAGACGTGCTAGTGAAGCCCTATGTTCCACTAGGAACCCAAGGGACTAATAATAATAATAATAATAATAATAATAATAATAATAAAAATTACAATATTCATTTTCAGAATACAATGGTTTATTATTACTAGTGTAGAAATAAATAAGTTGATTTTGTTTAAATACATGTTTTAAAGAAATGTAGGAAAGTTGAAAGATTAAAAAACGTTAATGAAAGACTACATATGGGTTCATTTATATGATGAGTATCAGAATGGATACCTTTATCATCTCTTCTACATCAAACTAACCAGATTAATAGAATAAACAAATAATATTTCATTTTGACCAACATGGTTCTAGATTTTCAAGAATATTTAATAGATCCATTATTGTTAATCTACACTTTTCAATAGAATTTTGAAGAGAAACTAAATTTTCATCATTTATTGTAAAGATAATTCTTGTTAATGTTTTTTCAGCTGGTGTTGGTGCTGGTCCACTTGGTTGTTCTGTAGTTTCATCACGAATAAATGTAGAACTAGTTAAAAAATCTCCAGTAACTTCCATTAATATTAAAAGAAAAAATGAAAACTGTATAAAATTCAGTATTAACATATTTGTTTATACTGGGTCTTCATCTTTTTCTTAACTAAACAGCATGATTTGCGGTTTAATTTACACAAATAATGATTGGTTGATCATATATATATATATATATATATATATATATATATATATATATATATATATATATATATATATGAATTGTGCACTAATTGATAACTAAGTTCGTATGGAAATGATATTTTCTACTAGTACATAAATTCACTGTCTATTGGTGTATCAAATTATCATATGACTGAAAATCATACTTTAAGGTCAGTTAAGTCTATATGTACTGATTAAGTTCTGTTACAGTTTCATAATTTTTCACACAACTACTTTTACTCTCACGTGTTAGCTAAGTTAGTCGATAGTTAACAACAGTGCTTTCATTTTGTTAATTGGTTTGGGCTAATTGATAGGAAGCTATGCCTGATCCAGATTTCAGGCCCGTTGGAACTCTGGAATTATATTATTACATAATTTGTCCGTTGGGTTTCTAGTGAAACATACGGCTTCACTAACACGTCGCCATTTCACTCTCTTCTCTGCAATCTTTTCAACCTGGCTCCACGATGGCCTACAAGATCTCAATTTTTCCTCACACCATCTCCTCTATCTCACCCTCGCCTCCGATGCCCAACTCGTCGTTTCCCATTCAAGTTCCACTCGACACCATGGCCTGGTCTGGTGAGTGATGTCACTGAATAATTTTCTCAGTGCATGCCCAGTCCATTTCCACTTCCTTCTGCAGATTTCTTCAGCGATAGGTTCTTGGTTGGTTGGTTGTTTACCAGGCCTGAGTTCCTTTGTGCTTATTCTTTCTGACCATCTGATCTTCAGTAACGAGCCGGCGTAGGCAGTTATTGAGGAATATCTGTATTTTGTTGGAAATGTATTTCGTGACTCGCCAAGTTTCTGAACCATACAGAAGTACTGGCTTGACTGAAATGGTGTTGAAAAACCGGTTGTTGTTCCCGCTTAATGCCGAAGGAAGAAGATCTCAATACTAGTTTCAGGTTAATGAACACCAGTCTTCATTTTCCGATCCTCGCTGGCATTGATGTACTCATCTGTGCCGCCTGCAATTGAAACGTTGCTGCCTAGATACGTCAAAGAGGCTACTTCATTTAGGTTTTTCGAGTTGATGGTGATTGGAGTTTGTTGATGATGGTGTTGTTTGGGTCTCTCCATCATCCCTATCTTCTTTAGGTTAACTTGAAGTCCCGTATTCGCTGCTTCTTCTGTCAGCTTATTGGATTTTGCCTGTAGATCTTCAAGTTTGTGTGAACAACATACGGATTTTCAACACTGATGCCAGTCAAGTCACTGCATCTGTATGGTTGAGAGACTTGGCGCGTTACGAAAGGGATTCCCAACAAACTACAGACATTCATCAACAGCTGCTGCCTACGCTGGCTCGATACTGAAGCTCAGATAGCCAGAATAATAAGAATGAGCAACAAGGATTCCCGCCTGACAACGAACCAACCAAGAACCTATTGCTCAACAAATATGAAGAAGGAAGTGAAGATGGATTGAGCATGCACTGAGAAGACCAACTGGGGACATCACGTGCCAGTCCAGTTGCTCGAGTGGAACCTAGATGGGAAACGACGAGTTGGGTGTCCGAGGTGAGGGTGACATGGAGGAGGAGATGGTGTGAGAAAGAAATGAGAGCTTGTGGACAGTGGTGGAGCCAGGTTGAAAAGATTGGAGAGAAGAGAGTGGAATGGAGACGTGCTTACTGAATCCCTATATTCCACTAGGAACCTAAGAGATAAATTATATATATATATATATATATATATATATATATATATATATATATATATATATATATATATATATATCTATGAATGCATAGTTGAATTCATCAAGTTTTTAATTAAGTTACCCTTCAACTAACAGGGATTTTATGGAGATACTCTCAGCTGGGTATTATTTTAAACTTACTGGAATATATTACTGTCAATTTAATGGTATCCCAGTGCTTCGCACTTCACAAGTTATTTAGGCTTTTGTTTAAAACATGCTGTAAATTTGACAATTAAGCTTCCGTACGCTTAAAATCTTACTAGTTAATTAGTTTAACATGAAAAGTAGAGAATTTCAGTGTATTTAGAATGGAACTTGAATCTAAGTAACTCAAAATAATTTTATAAATTCAATAAAATGTTTTCTGTTGTTTTTAGAAATGTATATTTTAGGTGTAAATTAAAAAAAAATTCCTCAGTTTATTTGCATAAGTCTCAAATATACATTGATGAGTAGACGCTTTCCATCGAATAAAAGCAGATTGATAGTATAAGTGATGAACGGGAACATCAAAGGAAGAATGTAGCATCAGTTTAGGACAATTATTATTCTTGTTAAACATTTTAATACTATCACACAGCATACAGCTAACAGTATATGACTTTGCTCTGCGATTCCCATCATGCCACAGCGATTAAAGTTAGTCCTATGGCTATCAAACAGACTTTTCTGGCATATTAGGACCTCAAAAAAAGTTATTACTGCTGGTGATAGTCATTAATTCGTTGGAAAAAGCAAGCGCAATGTATAAAACGCGATCATTTCGTTCTAGTATAGAATTCCATAGTAGTGCTCACCTACAATGACGTCAGCGATCAAACCCAGGTTTCTTAGGTCTTGTCAAGAGAACACATTACCACTGAGCCCTGTGAGGCGGAATTCGATGCTATACATTTTCCTATTTCTAGCAATTCACAATGTAAAGTAACCATCATCTAATTCCATTGGCAGCTATCAGTCCTTATATACGACTTACTTAACCTCTTACTACATGGCTTCTCACTAGAACATCAGTAAATCCATCTCAAATGCATATCAGCAAGGCGAACTAGGCAGTAAATCAGTTGTTTATTTTTCCCAAATTCTATGGAAAATTACACCCTAACGCTTCATATTTCATGGCTAGATTAACTGCTTATTTGATGCTGTACAAAAACAAGCATCATATAGCATATAGCTGTTGAATGAGGATGATCAAGGTTTATGTCACTATAACTGAAGTTTTGCAGCAGCTGATCGTCAAATTAATTCTCAGTCGACGCTGTCGGAGGCCCTTTCAAAGTCGATGAAGTTGAGGTGAGGTGGAGAGTTGACTGGTATTCTATGCCCTGTTCTATGCATAGCGTTGCGTTGCGTTGCGTAGAGTTGCAATTTGATCCTCACATCATTTGTCCTACCCGAAGACAGCCAACAAGCCGGCCTGTTTCGGTTGTAATTTTGAATGCGGAGCAGTTTTAAACTTCTCCAGAATGATGCGGCCTAATTTCTCCTTCAGGTGGACAGGGGTGGAGGATGATTCCTCACCACTTCTTGCAAGAAATTAGTTCTCCCTTCTTTCAGAGTTTGACAAGGTAGCCCGTCTTCCGGTCAAAAACCAGGTACCTTCCCTTCCTTCTTTCCCTCCAAACCTTGTGCAATAGTGTTGTGAGCATGTTCGCTGTTGTCTCTGTGTCTATTTTCAGTGTTCTTGGTGATACATCATCTAGTCCTACTGCTTTCCCAGATTTCAGCAATTTTGTGGCTTTCAAGACTTCGGCTTTTGTCGGAGGGCTTGTGTTCACTGATATTTCTGTGACTGGGTTGCTGGTGGTATTTCTGGATGTGTTGGAGGTGGTGATGGTAGTCGATTCAAGAGCTTTTTGAAGTGGTCAGTCCATCGTTTCCTTAGTTTCTCCTCTTTGGCGGTAACCAAGTTATGTCCACTATCTTTCATTGGTTTCATCTGTGTTCATCCATTCCCAGAGAGTATTTTGGTTATTTGATATAGTGTTGTCAGGTCTCTGTCTCTCCTACCTGCAGCCATTTCTACTTCAATTGTAAGTGTGTCGTAGAAGTGCCCACTGTGTTTGCGCACACCCTTCTTCACTTCTTTGTCCAGTGTAGTGTTTTATGGGTTGTAATCAGTTCCTCTTTTCGTTGTTCATCACTGCACTGCACTGGTTCATCTTCTGCTTCATCATCTTACCCTCCCTACTCCATCAGCTTCCATGTGTCCTTCGACATCCATTCCTTGTTCTGTTTTTTCTCCCATCCCAACACGGTTATGCAGGTTTCCCTCCACATCCCTTCCAAAGAGTTCCAGCGTTCTTCTACTCATGTTTCTTCAGGGATGTTTCCAAATATCTATCATTTTATCTTGATGACTGACGTGAAGATTTCCTTTCTAGTTTCGTCGCTCAGTTTCTATTCTGGGTGTTGAACTTCAACTGTCGTCTATCACCAACTTCTTTGAAGGCTTTCAACCTGATTTTAAAAGTTCCTTGCAAAGGTTAGTCATTGGTGTGAAACTACATCTGCTCCTCTCTCTTCCTGATCAGATCTTGTGTTCAGTAGGCTACTTCTCCACTTTCTTCACATTGAAATGAAGTCGATCTGATTTCTAGTGTAGTGCGTCCTGATGTCTGGTGAAATCCATGTCTCTGTCTTTTGAATATCCTTGTGTTTACACACACTACCTCCAATCACCAAATCGTTGAATGCGCGGATGTCTACAAACAGTTCTACATTCTCCTTCATTTCACCAAATGCTTCTCGATCCATGATGAATTCTCTTCCTGTGTTCTCCACTCCCACTTTCGCATTCATATCACCCCACCTATTAGAATTTCGATGTCACCAACTGGAGTGGTGTCTTGTCCTGTACTGATTACAGTTGTCTGTAGAATCCCTCCTTCTTCTCTTCACCTGCATTATTTGTAGGTGCATAGTGTAGCGTAGCATTGTATCATTGTGACTCTCCCTCCTTTCGAGTTGAATCTTACTGTGATGATGGTGATCCTGGAGGAGGAGATTGGTTCCCACTGTATGAGAGAGAGGGACAGAGAGAGCGTTCGATGCTGTTGGGGACATGATGATGGCCACTGGACAACTCAGTGTGCTGTTCTCGTGGTTGTCGTCTGGGTGACAATATTGGAGTAGATAATTGACTCCTCACTAGTTGGTAGTTTGGAGAGTCCACTTCCATGCCATACTTTCTCATCTCTTTTTCGATCTGGTCAGCCTTGCCAGCCAGCTTCAAACATGGTGCTCGCATT